CTCCTTTATTTATTTAAATGCTCTATGATTTTCAATGCTAATTTTAATGGGAAGTACAAATATTCTTTACCTGTCTTTAATATGTAATGTCCCCTCTTAATTCAATTCAGTTTATTTCTATAGCGCCAATTCACAACACATGTCATTTCAAGGTACTTTACAGTTCAACCAGATCAAACAGTCAAATTGATTCAAAGTTTTCTATCTAAGGAAAACCAGCTGATTGCATCGACTCATTGACTCTACAGCAATCCCTCACACTAAGCATGCTTGCAGCAACAGTGGAGAGGAAAAACTTTCTTTTAACAGGAAGAAACCTCCAGCAGAACCAGGCTCAGTGTGAGCGGCCATCTGCCGAGGCCGACTAGGGTTGTCGGCCTCAGCAGAGACACTATTAAGTGTTTTTGTTTTCTATGTTCCTTTTTCACGTAAATTTGTATATGACAGAAATGTGTTATACAAATAGTCATGTCTTACATGTTAAATTGTAGCAATACTTTCAGTAAAGAGTATTTGGAAACTAAGGATCATTACCAAGTGGTTCCCTACTCAACCAGAGTCAGCACTGATACTCTTAAAACAGCTTTGAAGAGAAACCTCTTCCAACATAGCTGCCCCAATTAAGACATGATATTTCCACAAGGATGGAGAAACATTTGACAAGATGCAAGAGAAGTTAGAACGAAATACACCAGTTGTCAATTCAACATAAACAACCTTGTAATTGTATTCTGAATAGATGTAATGTACCTGTTAAGAAATCACTTTAGATGTAGCCTTTACTGATTTGTGTAATACTTTTTTAACACGGCTAGTTAGTGATACCAATGACTGTATTTGTTAGTGGTCGCAGAATGCTATAGAGGATTTTCCTTATTAATGTCTTAATCCTAAAAGCAAAGTTTCACATTTATAGATTTATTTTTCTTAAAAAAAAAAAGAACCTCAAACTTTCTAGTTATTGTTTGATAGATTTTAAACAATATTTACAGACAGATTGAATTAAAGTAACAATGTAAGAATGTGGAATAATATTTTGATTTAAATCATTTCTCTTTTATTCTCCTTTCTTTGGCTTTATTTTTAAGTGTAATTTCAGTTTTTACACCTCACAGTGTTTGGTTATATTGACTCCATTCTCCACTGCCAAATTGTTTATTTTTTGCTTTTCCTTCACTGTGGTTTGTCATCCACCAAACTGGACAAGTGTAACATACAATGAACAGTTCGATCAGCACAATAATCAGGCTGCTGCTGCCCTCCTCTCTAACTGCAGCTGCAGGATCTCCCTAAGATGCTGAAGATATAAAACAGCAACCAGGCTGCAGAGACAGTGTCCCCCAAGCTGTCGATCTCATTGAGGCCAGGCAAAATATTCTGCTTTTCTGTAAAAGCAAATATTTATCATTTCCTATATTGTATAAAGCCCTTAAAATGTCTTTATTTGGTGAAAAGTTGAAGCAAAGTCCATCCATCCATCCATTTTCTGGGAAGCAAAGTCAAGTTCCTTTTTTATACCCTCAGTTTGGCTGATTTACTTTAAGACACTACATTACCCAGCATGCCTCGCTCGATGAACGGTGACGCGACAGCGCAGCAAAAACTCACATGTGGCCTTGAAGGCGCCGCCGCCTTTGCTGTTAGCAGGAGCTTTTCTCCAGCCGAAATATCCGACTCAGATAAATATTAAACAGCAACACAACTTTATAAAATATTGTTTTTTTCTAGGCCAAAATGCCGCCAAAGAAACCCGCACCTGCTACGGGCAATAAAAAGACTCAAGAGAAGAAAAAGGAAAAGATAATTGAGGTAAATAAAGCACGAGTTAGCATGTTAGCTCGATGGCTTCGGAAGCTAAGCTACGGCTAAAGTTGTTCCCCTCTGTTTGCTCAGTTATGTGTTATTTTGGATCACTCAGATATGTTTCTTTGTAAAGATGTTAGCTCTTACTGTTCTGCGTGGTGAAATGTTCTTATAATCCTCATTTCTCATGTAGTTTAGGTTCAGGCGGTCAGACTATCAGGGCCCAAAACCAGACCCGGTCTTTTAGCCAGTTTGGTTAATCCTAATCTTACCTCATATTTTAAGGAATTTATTAAAAATATTAGTAAAATTTTTATATATACTGACAATGTTTACGTGCGTAAAATGAAACGTACAAGCTGACAGCTGGCCATCTTCTTGGCCTCCTAAAAGTGCCTTAAATCCAGAGCGCGTGCTAGTTTTTATGTCAAACATCTGATTGCTTTTTTGTTTTTCCCCTTATATTATTTGTTCACAGAAACCTGATCTACCTGCTCTGTTTCCGCTCCAAATGCTGGCCTAAGCCTGTTTTAATATAATATTTAGGGTCACTAAAGTAAGCTGGAGAATCCCAGTGAGTTAAACATGTGGTGTGTTGTTTTCAAAGTCCTGAACCATGCTTGGTAACACCATTTACTTTATTATTTGTCCATTGATCAATGGAAAACTTTCAAAGAAGCCCACACTGTGGCAGATTGATCAGCAATTAATCTAATATGAAAAACAAACTTCTTTGGTTCAGTCCTCAGTTTTTCTGAATGTGGGATAAAAAACAATCTTTGCCTCCAAGTCAGGTTT